CATGGGGGCGTCTTATTGTCGGAAAAATATGGTATTAACATTACCTTTATTGTAAGATTACAGTAACAATCTTGCAAGTCTGAAAGTACCTCTCCCCTCCTTTACTTTTACTCTCCCAAAAACTAGGGAAGGTCCCTTCTGAGATGCTTTCTCCACCCCTACCCCTCCTTAGGACTCAGATTTCATTTATCAGACCAGCAATTCCTCCAGTCCCCCAAAGTAATTCTCACATACACTACAATACCTGTTTATTACACACAGTGGTCATACCACAGATGAAAAAGGAAGCATTCAATTCTCAGGGTTGTTGCAGCTGGCCTATCCAACAGTAAATTGTGGATTTATTGTTACTGTATGAGTGAAATGCAGGTACAGCTACTGATTATCTGTTCCATATAGAACAGTCTGTTCCATATAGAAAAAGGAACAGGTTTCTGTTGGTTTTACTGTAAAGCTATGTAGTATTCTTAGTCCACTTTGTGAATATTTAGGAAAACTTAATCTATTTTCTAAAAATTATTTCCCAGCTTGTAACATACTACAATGTTATATATGTATTTGCATGTTATATATATTGTGCCTTGGAAAGTATATGTGAGTTTCATGTGCAGTTTGCCATTCATACTAGCAGCCATTATCTTAAGTAATTGTCTTTTCAGGTACCTGTAGTATATTCTGATTTAGGTTACTATGGTAAGTATAAATTTCAGTGCCATCATTAGTAATGAAACATTATCTTTTCTCTGAATGAAATGAAACATTATCTGTCCTCTGAAAAAGCAAAGTTTGAAAACTAATGGCACTGAAATTCAAAGCTAATTGAATTGCTGTTTATATTTATCCAGCTCATGATACTTAGCTTTATTTTTATTTGTACATATGTATTAAAAAGATATTTTAGATATTCAACACAGTGTGTCATATTTCCTGTCATAATTTGACCACATCTGGGCATTTTGTTATGATATAAGGTACAGCATTTGTTAATCCTCTCTCTTTTATGGTAAGAAAAATGAGGTAATAATATCTTGAATTTTTTTACACATTTTAATGATTGTGTTGTGAGGCTTTTCTTTGACAGTATGTTAAGTTTCATAGTCCAGGTTCACCCAACATGCAAAGCCAGATCTGGGGGACCTTAAAGCCCAAAGCCACTCAGTAATGCTAGGGTTGAGTTGAAGCCTGTTCTTCCTCATCCAGAGCCCTCTCACCCCAGTCTCTGGGCACCCAGAAAAAACTCAGCTGCATACAGTGATCAGCCTGGGATTGAGATGTATAGCTAATGCTGTGCCGGCAGATAACCTCACCCAGCAGCTTCATGTAGATGCTAAAGAGGAACAAACAGAGCTCTGGGTTCTTGAGCCAAATCTCTCACTGTTATCAACACCGATGGAAACCTGCCCTGGAGGAAGGAGGAGAACCACCGCAGCACTGTGCCCCCACTCTCAGCCCCCTGAATTGGTTCAGATCAATGGCACTGAAAGCTGCTGAGAGATCAAGGAGCGCAAGGATGGATGCACCACCCACATCTTGTCCCTGCCAGAGATTATCCACAAACATGATTGGCGCTCTTTTGGTCTCATACCTGGGACTGAAATTGAACTGGAAAGGGTCTAGATAACCCACTTCTTCCTGGGCCCTCTGAAAGTTTTTGAGCTATGCAGAAATGAGAGAAAGTGCCATTTTGATTAATAGAAACCAGCAGTTAAGATGTTTTAAAGTGGGGGGGGGGGATTGTGTAGAAAAGAGCATGGAATATAATTTCTATATTCAGCTATGACATATTTTAGTAGAATTTTGAATTACATTTTGTGCAGGATAAAGAGCAACTTGATAATAATTCAGTTACTTTTCTTACATTTGTGTTGCCTGCCTGCCGTGGTTTGGATTTAATTTCCATGTACTTTAGCTTCATTCTTTCTTTTTCAGAATATAACATGTTTTCAAATGCACTGAACAGCTGTAGGAATATAAATAAGGAACACTCTGTGTTCAGTCAGAGAACAGAAGACTCCTCTGCAGCTCAATATTTTCAGGTAGAGAGCCGTTGTTTCATAATCCTACTAGTGATATATTCAGTGTTTCCTGGGGGAGTAGATAGGATAACCTGTTGCAGAAAAAAAGAAAATTATTGTAGCAACATAAAAGACTAACATATGGTATAAGCTTATGCCATAATAATTTTTTTCTTAAATTTTAAGTGGCAGTGGCTTTTTTGTTGTCAATATTTCCCAGATTTATGGCAATCTCTAATCTGGATGCCTTGGAGCACTATCTTGGGTTTCTGCAGGAAAGACTTTATTCTTATTTTGTATATTGTTGTGGGAAAGTTATAGCAACTACATTTCTCCTTATTTCTTTCTAGTTTTATGGATGCTTATCTCAACAACAGAATATGATGCAGGATTTTGTAAGGACAGCTACATATCACAGAGCAATACTTCAGAATCATACAGATTTTAAAGATAAGGTAAGCCAAATGTCTTTCTGCTCAGTTTCAAATAGCTATGCCTATTTTTTTTACAAAATTGGCCATAACGTTGATCTAAGGTATGTATAATATTAAATTCATCTGCCTTTATCGGTATTGTCCATTCTGTACATCAGCAGGTTCTTAAGTTTTTAGGCACTGACTTTTTTCTATCTTACTTGAGAAGATATGTCAGGTATAGAATCAGAGATCCTCAGTATTTGAAGCATTTACTGTGAAGAACTTTGTCATGCCTTTCCTCTGGTTCCCACTGTAGAGAAGCTGACATCTCATTGAAAGGCTGTTGGCAATCCCCAAAGGGTGGTGAGGGAGTCATAGAATGGAAGTCAGATATTAGAGCAGCATCTCAGCCTTTGCCTTCATGGCCCACCTCCATAACATCAGGATTGATTGATGATTGATCGATCTATCTACAAAAAAGTGGAAACCAAGAGTACTGGTCAAGGAAAATATCAAACATTTGGTGATAGTGGGGGAGAAATAACAACTGTTATATTAAAGATTATTAGGAAAGTAATTGAATTTTTTTTAAAAAATTAGCGAACAGAACACATGGTAATGGCTACCTGATTAGATAGATTTGAAAGAGAGTTGACACGCTAATAGAAAGAGAGAGAGGATCTCTTGCTGGGCAAAGGCCTCATTTCCCTTCACACCACAAATGTTGTGGTAAGCTCTCATGCATGGCTTATGAATTTTGTAGAAGCATCTATTTGAAATATAATTGTTGGTTGTAATTAACTTACCCTGCTAATTTCATTTAATCTATCGTAAGTGTGACTAAGACTGTTTTCCCACTAGTGACTTAAAGTGTATCACAGAAAGGATATAAAGCTGTCCTCATTAGTGTTATTTGGTAAGATACGGTTGAGATGACTCTAGAAGATGCTGAAAGTCAATAGTGAGGAATTGACTTTAGTGTAGATCCAGTCCTTTAAGTTTTAACAAAATGAATGTATGCTGAATTGACTGGAAGATTATAGTTTTTCACATCTCATGTAATTTTATTAAGGAGTGGGGTTTTTTGTATTTCAATGCTTACTCAACTTTATGTGCATTTTAAAATTAATATGTAATGTTGTGTTGACTCTTGACCCTAAGAGCTTGCCATTGGTGAAATAAGAGAGTTTAATTCAACCATGTAATACCAATTGAAAATAAGCTTGGAGATAATATCGCTCAAAGGATTCATTTCATCTTATGTAAAAGAGCAGACTTTGTTGTGACTTAGAGAACTCTCAAAATACTTTAACAAAATCCAACTAATCATACTTGGAATAATAGTTATATAGTGGAATTGTTTTCATTGGACTGAAGACAGATTTTAAATAGAAAACACCATTTCAGAATAGTGCGTGGTTGCCAAGTTTCCTGGGTAACTGGGAATGTTCTTTAACTGCTTTGTAACAAACTGAGTGACTGTGAGCACGAGTGTTAACTTAGCACCACTGCCATATTTTACTGGGACAACACCGGAACATCATTACTTTTTATAATGACTTGGTGCTACTTTTTAAGGACTAAAGCCACATACTGTAGCTAGGTTTCATTGTTAAGGCTGTGCATTTGTCTGGGAGAAACAAAGTGTCATTGCATTGTGTTTTTCTTACACAAAAGAGTTTAGTGGCTTTCTGACATCTTGGAAAAAATGCCACAATAGTAATAGCTAAATTTGGGTTAGTATACTAGATCAGTTAGAGCTGTGAGATCCATGCCATAGTGCACTGATGTGAGACATTTCCATTACAGAAATGATGTGTCTCTTCTGCCTTCCACTGTTTGCCTTTTCCATCTTTCTCTGATTTCAAATAGAGGCAATGAATTGTTGCTCTATTAGGGTGGCTCTGAACACTGAAGCAAATTTACCCCCTACCTTCAGTGTGGCATTGCTCTCTGCTTGAATGTGGCATTGGAGAAGCATAAATAACTTATATTCAATTTTTTAAAATGTGTTTGAATATTTCCAATCTTTCTTTTTATTCCTAAGAGAAGTTTCAGGAGGCAGCACCCATAATGAAGTAGATACAGTATCCACCAATAAAATATAATTTTAAAAAATGGTGGAGAATCTTCAGAAGTTTCAACATTGCTGATCCCAACTCTCACGATGTATGCAGCCAGTGTACAACTGGGGAAGTTAATCCAACAGATGAAAATCAGTCATAAATTGCAAAACTTTGAAATTGTTCAACAAATATACTATAAGTTATTCAAAATACAATCTGGTAAAAGTGTTGCAGATGCTGAGTTTTATAAAACTGTATAACATAATTTGTAGTAGTCATTAAACCAGATGTTTTGACTGAAGGATTTACTCAGTGGCAGCTAATAAATTTTCTTACCTGCATGACTTTGCTTAAAATTCTCAGTCCAAATAAAATAAGCTATAGTACAAAACCAACACTGACTTAGTAAGCAACAATCATACAATATTTAAATATAGTAAGTTTAACAGCAAATCTAGGATTAAATCTAGGACTTGAGCTATTAGTGATAGTGTTATAGTATTACTTCAGTACTCTTTATTTAGTATGTCAAAGCAATAAGGTATGTTTGTATTTATTTCCCAGATAAATTGAAGCTGACTAGGTCTGTGGAAGGAAGTAAATTAAGGGATGGAGGAGGGCAGGAAAAGTTAAATAAATGCGCGCACACACAAAAGGTTCAGGATTCTAATGCAGCACAGCAGTCCTAGAAACATGAATGTGGGTAGCTCTTGAGCTGATAAAAATAAATTCATTTACTGTGAGTTTGTTAGATTAAATGAGACTAACTAAAGTATGAATTTAGTAGCTGCCCAGAGTCATTGGGAGTCAGGCGGCATACAAATTTAATACATACAAAACTTAGGTACATCTGTAGTTTAGTATAACTTAGTTCCCTTTCTGGGAGTGATAGTGACAAATGCTGTCTACCTGAGTGCAAATAATTTCTTTTAGTTAATATAAGAACTGTGTAAGGAGTTCTGTTATTTCACTGCTTTTGCTAAGTGGATTCTTAAACAAAAAAATACATGCTTCCAATATAGCTTTTTGACTTTAGATTAGGACTGTTATCTAATAGAATAAAATGCTTTGAAAAGAATTTGCAAGATCTACATGTGTTAAGTTAATAATCCTAAAACGTTTGTCCTTGCTTCTTTTTCACACCTATGGTAATGCTTCTGCTAAGAAATACTGCGGCAAGAATAACTATTGAATTCCCTCAGAAGAGTAAATTACAATTTATTTGTAGGTTCTCCAAGTTCGTTATATCAAGAGCTTGTGATTTCAAGACTTGTTATTGGTTTTCTTGTACTATAATTAATGAAAAATTATGCAGAGAAATATGGTATGAATTTGATGAAATACTTTAATTTCACACTATAACAAAGCAAACTTTAGCATTGTTTGCAACTTCATATGTAGTATTTATAAATATTTGATAGCATTGATTGGCAGGAGGGTTTTTATACCTTCTGAATCTGCTGATAAGATCTGAAATATAAATAAAGCTTTATACAGTGTCATATTCATCCCCATCCATTTTTATGTTTCAAGGTGGTCCTAGATGTTGGGTGCGGATCAGGTATTCTTTCATTTTTTGCTGTGCAAGCTGGAGCTAGAAAAGTTTATGCTGTTGAAGCTAGCTCGGTGGCAAAATATGCCAAGGTGAGTATGTTAGATTTGATTAGCTACTGCATTAGTCTGCTTTGCTGTGCATGCAGAAAACAAGGTATTTATGGCTTAAACAAAGGAGTGGAAACAGTTTGGGTTATTGTCCATCTAATGTTAATTTTATTTCACCGTGTTTCATCAGGATTGTGTCTTGAAGATCATAATTCACTCTGAAGCTATATGTTAAAGGACAGAAAGTTTCGATTATTTCAGTGAGACTTGTTTCCACTTAAGCAGCTGCAGTCAAGCACATTTAGAGATGTGTGTGAAAGTAGGACAGTCATTAAACAAAATTATATTTTGATGGTGGAGGCAGATTTAAGGGGATTACTATCTCCACTAACAACTATAGTGCATCTTTGCAACAGCTGTTTTATATTTGAGATACATGGCTCAGGCCTATTCAGTATATTGCAAATGAGGCTGGAACCATTTCACTGGTAAATTAATAGCAGGAATAAGAATTGAATGCGCTACTGATATTTAAAGTAAAATACTACTTTTGATTAGAACTATCTTTACTGGCTAGCATTCTACGGATATGAATTTTTTGCCATATTGAAATATGCTAAAACCTTTGCTAATTGAAACTCATCTTCTGTGAAAGGACTTAACTAAATTGCAGCTTCTCTTGTTCTTGGATGGATCCACTTACAGTCAACCAAGAATACTGGGCATATTTCAGAGAAAAGCAAGCAGCTTTTTTCCTGGGATTGCTCCTCTCTCACTTCAAATACAGTAACGGCTTGTGGAATATGCAAGTTATGGTGATCTCGTTCCCAGTCTGTCCAAGATGGAGAAATTGGATTAGCATCGCAGGTTTAGACTACATGATTTGGAAAGGCTAGCAAATTCAGTGGATACTGCTTTCTTCCTCTCCCTTTCTATAATTCCAGGGAAGTACCTGAGTAATTTATGTAAAACTCTGGCTGTTTCTAAAGTCGTTTAGACTAATTCAGATGTAATATCTGGATTATAATTAAAATTTTGTGATCATCTCGGTAGTATAGTAGGCACATCAAAAACAATATTCAGCTGAAGCCAAGCCCACTACCCAATTTACTTACTTCACTTGTTCCAGCCATCATAAGATTTACAGCCAATTTCTAGAATGGAAATATTTATCAAGCAGGAAAGTTAATACTCACCTACAGATGAGCAATGGCTGGAAACGTGTGCAGTAAAAGGAGACAAATCCACACACAGCCAGGTAAGACAAAGAGGAATTTCCTAAGCAACTTCCTTCTCTAGAGAAAAAAAAATGATTGTTTTGAAATCCAAGCTTTGAAAGAGAAAGAGAGAGAACTTGGTGGAAGAGAACATGAAAAAGGTGCCATGGGGAGGCTGACATAAGTGGGCTTTACCATCTTTGCTGAGCGTCAAAAGTAAGCTTCAATATTGCAGAAAAACTAAAGGTGAGTCAAGGCATCCTTGAATCAGAAACAAACTTCTGATTCAAGGAATTGGTGTTTGGGTAGGTATACTGTAGGTAAACCAGTTTAGCTAAAACTTTCTGTCAGGATTTTATCCTTTATTTTAATGTGTGGACTCTAGTTAAATGCTTTAATATCTCTGAGATTTTAGTATTTGTGATGCTCTTTAGATCTTATGTTGTCTGCACATGCTCAGTGAACTGTGTTTTTTTATATACAACTTGGAGTCTCATTACATCACAGTGATTCTTCTTAAGATGCTGTCTGATTTTAGCAGTGCTCTGGGGTTATTTTCGCCAAGCATGTTTGTTTTCACAGGTGACTGCTTAAAGTGAAAAAGAACAATTTACATCTCTGTTCTTATTTTTAATATAGTTTAATTTACAATTAATGCTTATTAGATTATTCTGACTCAAGAGGGTGGCAGCTTTCCCCATAGTACATATGTCGAATTTATACAGGTAGTCCTTGTTTAGTGACTGACTTGTTTAGTGACTATTCGCAGTTGCACCGGTGATGAAAAAGTAACTTTGTGACCAGTCCTCGCATTTATAACCTTCACAGGTCTGTAAAGCAAAGGAAAGCTGAAGTAAGATCATAAGCACAGTTGTGGTTTCATTTAGTGACCACTTTGCTTAGCAACCAGGTTGCCAGTCCCAATTATGGTCGCTAAATGAGAACTCCCTGCACTAGACTTATGATAGGTGGCACAGTAGAATTCTTTTCACTTTTATCATTCTTGTTTTTCTTTGATTTGCCAGTATAGATTATGGGAATCCCTACATGTCCCACATGCTGGTGTTAAGGGGTCTCCTACAGCATAGTCTAAGCAGATAGCTAGTGGCTGCTGTAAAACTACCAAGCAGCTGTTCCAAAGCAGGAAGGCAAGCCAGGATGTGTAAAACCCAGAGGGTTTCTGGGAGACGAAGTTGGAAATCTCCCACCTTTCACCCTATGGACTCAGCCCTTGCCACTGCGGTAGAACATTGCAACCAGATTACCTCTCTGGTTTTCAGATTTTTCTTGCATGACTTTGTTCTTGAATTACAGTTGCAAGAAACATTCTTTACCTCATCTCAAATAAGTGCTGTCAAAGGGTGTATTTTTTTAAAAAAAATACTGTATTAATGCAGCTTTCCCAGTCTGTTCTCTTCCTATTGTGTTGGACTATAGATCTGTTTCATGGAGCCCAAATTACAAGGATACATTATACTACGCCTTGTGGTATGAGGCCAGAGAAAGCTGGATGATAGGATTAAAGTTGTACTTTTAACTTATATATCAAAATAAATCCCACTGAACCTGCTTAGGTTCTCTTTACAGAATTAACCAAATTACTGTATAACTGTAACAAACCATTTGAATACTGTGCCCCCAAGTTTAACTGAGAGTATATTCTACAGAAATAGTGAGATTTTTCCAAATGGCCATGTTTAGAATTTGAATTTAAATTACTTTTACAAAGTCTGAGAAGTAATGTGATGATAAGCTGGAGGAATTTTATGGAGGGCACTTGAACAAACAGAGCATGGGAGCAACCAGCATAAGGAAAAAGTTTTCTACAGTATATGGGAGAGGTCAACTACTGATGGGATCATTAGAAATAAAAAATTAGTCCTTGAGGAATACAGAGGTATTTAGCACATGAGGCTGGGGAAAGGGAAATATTTCTGGGGGTTTTGGCAGCAGGGTTCCTTTTGAACAGAGGCCCAAAGAGAAGAAGCTATCATTCTTCCAGATGCTACTTGTGCTTGCCACCAGGCAAGGTTTTCTATTTAATGACTCAAAAGCTGTTTTGGGGAAGGCTATTAGTTCTGTACTATTCCAAGAAATTTCCTATTTCTTTAATATGTCTGTGTTCTTCTTTCTTCAAGATTTATTCTAGGGACAGTTAATATTATTATTAAAAACAATAAACAAAAAAATTCATATTAAACATTAAAACCCAGTGTTTTATCACTTTTAATTAAAGCATTTTAAAGTATTTGAAAGGCCTGGAAAATCAATGATGTTTCTGGCTGATGCCTAAAAGCAGAAGAATAGTAACCAATCATGACTATTAAAAGAAACTTTGGACCATAGTGTCACTAGTAGGAAAGGCCTATTAAAGTTATTGCAATTTTTGTTTCAGCAAATTGTGGGGATGCTCAGAAAAAGCTGAGGATGACCTCACCACATGTAGAGAATAGTATAGAAAAAAAAATTAGATGACTGTGTTCTACATTGAGTAGGGTAGCCCTCCTCAATTTGGACTCATCCAGAAATGTTGGGTCTGCCAACTTCAAGAATTTGCAGCAATCATTTCAAGTCTGGATAACATTAATGTATAGCAAGCACCAGGAATTGAACTGAGAACTTAAAGAAATAATGAATCTGTAAGTATTGGTAATATGATGTTCCCAGTGCCCAGAACTGGTTAGTCATACAACATCTGTCATCATATAGCACATAACAGTGAAGTAGAAAGCTACCAGAGCATGAATTATCAAATTGTCTCTACCAAAGGAAGGTACACCAGGTTAACCAGATTTGTATAACAGTTAAGGGAGTGGAAAAGGTCCTCTTCATTATTGATAGTTTCAGTGATAAAGTAGATTTAGGAGCACCCATCTTTTGCATCTTATATTCTGTTTGGGAATTCAGCCATGAATAGCAAGTAGAGAAATGGAATACAAATTGTATATCTATTTTCATTGAGCCTACTGGCTCTATACAAAATATTAGCTTTAATAAGGAGAAATATTGCAATTGTGAAATAATTATAAATTTTTCTTGGCCTCTCCTAAAATGTTTATTGTCATTGCTTTGAAACCTAAATGATAAAAATTACTAGATGCTGAAGATCTCCCTTCTCACGCTAAATTATCCCTTTGAGAAACAGTGTGCATTGATGAAAAAGGGCAGAATTCTATATAATGTTATATCCAGAGGAAAAAAAAAGAAGAGAGAGGAATAAAAAGAGAAAGGAATATCACAGAATTTGGGTGGCCCATTTAGCTGTCATACTATTAATTAAGTTAAGATGCATAGAAATATGGATACCGGATTAAATACTTGTAAAATAAAATATTATACATGTATAATAAAATATTGTAGAAAGCAGCATTCTTCTACCCATTAGTAATGCTGCACAAGCCTCAGCATTCAATCCTTTCATCTCCCAGTCCACCCAATCTTCCCAGATGCTCATTCCCAAAAAAGAAACCTGGGAATGACATCTTGCTTGGTTGTCTTTTGAGGGAAAAATGGTTTTATTGTTACTCACATGTAGTCTGCCTTGTTTTGTTCCCTAATCCCTTAATATCTGGATGTGACAGTGGCTTACTTAAGGATTAGTGAATCCCTAGTAAGCTTCTACCATAACCCAATCTCATTCCCCCAGGTTCATGAGGATTGGCATCTAACCTCTTCTGTAACTAATCAGAGTTTGCAGCCAGTTTTTGAAACTGAAGGGTTAGACTCTTTAGGCTCCCAAGGTTCAGATTCCAGATGCTTCTAAGAGTGAAGTTGGTTGTAAATCTGTCTTCAAATACCATCGTCAAATCTTGGAGTGTCTGCTCCTGTTTCTTGTCTTCCAAGTTCCAACATTGCCATCCATTACAGATTTCTCAGTGGCTTATGACTGTGCCTTATATTATGTTTTGAGCCTTTGCTAACAATTCTGACTTCTCTGCATTACAGATCATAGGCCATTTCTTCAGCCTAGCATGACAGTAACATGATGTAAAGGTGACATATGCCATACTTACCCTGGAGGAATCTTTGTCAGACATTACAAAAGAGCTATCAGCTTTGAAAACTGTTGGTCTGGGATCATGTCATTTTTTTAATGGTTAGACACAAGCTCAGATAGGATTGCAACAGATGTTGTTTTCATCAACTGTCCTCTACTCATGGCTTTGGGGATAAATTGTTGCCTTTAAAGTCTGATGCTTGTCTTAAAAAATCAGCACTGAAGATGGATTGCCAAGCTCTTTAATAACTCTGTTAGCTGATAATTCAGCTTGCTGTCTTACTAAATTAATGTGAAAAGAATTGCAGGACAAAATCAAGTCAGTTCAGATTTTTTGGCATCATGAATTCACAAAAAGATTAAGACCATCATAGAACCATGAATATGTGTCAGTATAAAGTTTATGACTTTGTAAAATAGCTGGAGTGTTAAAAATTGTAAGAATTCTGCATTCTTGGTATTAGGCAGTTTACTTTCATTTTCTTAAGTAAAAGCAGACCCTTTTACTTGTTTAATAACTTGGCCCATTATAGAAAAAAAATCTATCATAGTTTATAAAAGCCTGGAACTTCCTGCTTTCTACTCTTCTGTTCAGCTTTAACCATGACGTTATTTTTAGTTTTTTTAACCAGTAAAAGAGAGTAGCTTAAGATTAGTTTATGTTTAAATTTAGATGTGTGCATGTATGTGTGTGTCTAAATGCAAAGCACCTTTAGTCTTTTCTTTAATGAATTTCATGAACATGCATACTTTTAAATAATTCATTTCAATGTTATTGTCTTCACTTATTTTATAAAATGGGAAATGTGGTTAGAATTTAATTTAAGCAAAGAAATTTAGTTCTAAATTATTAGCTGTATTTCTGGCCTGAGAAGTGGAAAATAATGCTGAAAAATATACATAATCAGTATATTTTAGGGCTTATTCACACTTTGCCATCTTGCAAAAGGAAGTGCTTTCTCTATTTAAATTCCTTCCTGATGCCCACCACAGTTACTTGGAAGACTATCAGGACTGTAGTCCTGTTGGGGAATGTCCTGATTCCTATCCTCAGCATGATCTTAACAACCAGCCGGACCACTGGTTGATGGACTGTCAGAAACCATCAGGGCACTGCAACTCACTAGGGATATACAGAGAGCCAGAAAATAGCAGATTGTACTGGAGGCCTGCAAAGGCTACATGTAGCTCGTAGTTTGCCAAATATAATCTTTTCCCTTTCCATTCCAGAGATTAAAGCAAGTATAGGTAGGTTAATATTACTGCAAGGACATACTTGGATAACCATTCATAATACTAGTGAGATTACTGATTCATCTGTTCTACTAAACTTTTGGTCTGCTTTCATTCATTTTAAATGCATTTTAATAACTCAAGAATTATGCTCTGTAACACAGCATAATCCAAAACAGTAGTTTAGGATTTGTCTCAGATCATAGAGAGCATTTTGCAACATACTGATAGTGACTGTATTTCAAAAAGAATCTGGAAAGCTGCATCAGCAAAGTAGAAGAGTTGGAAAGCATCATAAGTCCATGGTATTTATTGTTGCTAATAGTGTCAATATCTGTATGACAGTACTCCATGAAATCATCTTTAGAAATTATATGGTGCTTTTTTTTGCAGGGATGTTTCATAAAATATGCATCCAAAAGCACATTACAGCCACTATGTATTACTTATTTGTTGGATTATAGCATTTCTGAGAATCTAAGAGCTATAGTTATAAAGGTTGGGATAAAATTTTCAGCTTTGACTTTTTAGAGTTACAATAAACAAAATTTGCAGGTAACCTTATTAGGACCTACTTGATAAGCTGTCTTTTCATTCTTTTATCCTAATTCTATTCTAATTTTGGACAAAGCTTTCATTAAGCTGCTGCATGAAATGCTTTCAATATAAGAATTTGGCAATTAAAAATTATTTGTTATTACAATACAGCCTAGGAAAGAGAGCAAATATTTCCATGAATTTACACGGTGGCAAGAGAAGGCAAGAGTCCCTTGGAGAAATAGCTTCCCTTTCTACCAATGGGGACTATTGTGATTAGGTAAAGGAAAGATACTTTCTAGATTTATAACTGAATCATACTAGCCTTCTGCAGACTCACTAAAGAGATGGAACACGAAGGTTAATATACATAAATAAAAATCAAGCTGCAATGATTATATATTTCATACAACTAAAATGTATTCATAGGGAAGCCCGCAAGATGATTATATTATATGTGAGATTTTGGTGCCTTCTCCCATGATCTTATTTATATTTTATGTTATTTATTTTTAATGGTTATTTAAGATTTGTTTTAATTGTTTGTTTTATTGTACGCTGCCCAGAGTCATGTCAGTGAGATGGGTGGCTACAGTGGTACCTCTACTTACGAACGCCCCTACTTACGAATTTTTCGAGATACGATCAGCTCCGGCCCCAAAAATTTACCTCTGCTTACGAACTTGCCTCAATTTACGAACTGGATCCACGGCCATTTTCCGCCCATTCCACGTGGTCCGCGGCCATTTTTCCGCCCGTTCCACGTGGTCCGCGGCCATTTTTCC